GATACTCGGGGGGGGTGACAGAGGAGGGTCGGATGTGGGTGTCTGTGAAGAGGGATACTCGGGGGGGGTGACAGAGGAGGGTCGGATGTGGGTGTCTGTGAAGAGGGATACTCGGGGGGGTGTGGGTGTGACAGAGGAGGGTCGGATGTGGGTGTCTGTGTGAAGAGGGATACTCGGGGGGGGTGACAGAGGAGGGTCAGATGTGGGTGTCTGTGAAGAGGGATACTCGGGGGGGTGACAGAGGAGGGTCGGATGTGGGTGTCTGTGTGAAGAGGAGTGTGAGAGTGTGGATGTACATCAATGAAAGGGAATTATAAGGGCTCTGCACACTCCCTGGTTGTTTTGACCTTGAGGGTTTTTGTTGGGATTTAGCTCAGAAAAGCCGATAATTATATAAAACTGCCAACTGCCTGTTTGCTCCTTGTTTCAGGTTACAGGACGAGATTAATCTACGGCTCGAAGCTGAAAACAATTTGTCTTCCTACAGACAGGTGAGGCGTGCTCTGCTTGCGGCCAGCCAGGCCCTGTCCTGGAACCTGGGGGCCCTCAGCTCCTTGTTGGATCAGGCCCCTCAACCTGGAAAGCCGAGCACTAAACCCCAGAGCCCAGGCCGCTGTGGCAGTGGAACAGGGAGAGGGTGGGACTCGAGTAGTCGGGCAGCCCAGTGTCGGGGAGAGATGAGGCAGGACCAAGGGGCACCAGTGCTCGCGGCCCCTGCAGGGGCAGGGAAAGGATTACGTGAGATACACCCAGCTAATCCGGGCCAGTGACCGGCCCCCCACACTGCAGGGGAAGGAGAAACACCCCATGGCCCTAGCAATCTGACCTGGGAGGAAATTCCTGCCCAGGGGGCCCAAACATTTCAATGCTGTGAGCAAGACGCCTGTTTTGGGGCCGGGGCACCTCTGCAGGCCACGTCCAGAGCCATCATTCCAGAGTCTAGCCTCAGACCCTGCGCTGGGGTTAGGAGATGATAGAACCGAGTGAAAGACCAGAATAGCTCAGCTCTCACATGAACTGCAGACCTGAGCCAGGCAGGCGCGCCCGACATCTGTCAGGTGGGCCGCATGCCCTGTCCTCCGGGCTCGGGGAGGAGACCCTGGCAGTGGCCTCACTGCAGTCAGGTCACTGCCTGTGCAGCGGTGAGTCGCCCTCCCCGCCCCACCCCGGGGAAGGGAGTGCCAGCTGCACTGACCATAGAGGGGCACCCAATCCGCTCCCGGTGGGACACCCCCTGCCAGAGTCCTGGTGGTGTGGGCTGGGAGGAGACTGGAGACCAGGCACTTCCCTGAGCCACTGCAGCACCAGTTGGACCACCTGAACTGTGAGCAAGGACCAGCCAGTGCCACCTCAGAGCCCCGGCCTGTGTCCCATCTCCAGCTGTGGCCACTCCTGATGCTGCAGAGGAAAGCGGGGAACAGAACACACTGAAGCGGGGAGGAGGGGGGGAATCCCTTCCTGACCCTGCAGGTGAGCAGCTGAAGCTCTGAAGCATGGGATTTTAGGAACATGCAACAAACCGGAAGGGACCCCTAGACTTGCCGAGCCCTGCCCCCCACCATCACAAGCCATCCTGTCACACAATGTACCCATGAATGTGTCCAGCTCTCTTAAACCTAATTCAGTTGTTTGTCCCCCTCACTTCTATTGGGAGGTTGTTCCAGAACCTCTAATCGTTAGAAACCTGCTTCTAATTTCCAGCCTGAATTTGTTCATGGCCAGTTTATCCCCATTTGTTCTTGTGCCAACATTGTCCTTCGGCATCGATAGCTCTTTGCCCTCCCTGGTGTTCACCCCTGATGTATTTATAGAAAGCAACCAGAGCCCCCGCTCCATCCCACCCCCTGCAGCCTTTGTTTTGCCAGACCAAACAAGCCAAGATTTTCCACTCTCCCGCCATAAGGTCGGCTCTCCGTACCCCTGACCATCCTAGCAGCCCTTCTTTGCACCTGTCCCAGTTTGAATTCACCTTTCTTGAGCATGGGAGACCAGACTTGCCCACAGCATTCCAGACGAGGTCTCACTGGTGCCTTGTACCATGGCATTAACCCTGCTCTATCTCTCCTGGAAATACCTCGCCTGACACAGCCTAGGATCTCATTTGCCTTTTCCACGGCCACGTCACATTGGTGGTCATCCTGTGATCGACCCACACACCCAGGTCTCTCTCCTCAGTTACTTCCAACTGATTAGCCTCTAGTTTATAGCAGTTCTTATGAGACCCTGTAGCCTGATTTAGGGTGTACTGATAATATTAATTTGGATAATATGGGAATTTAATTTATTAATTTAATTTTATTTAATAATATTAATAATTATTATGATTAATATTAATTAGTGTGGGTTTAGGCTCGCCAATCTGTTTGATCAGAAGATAAAAGTTCTTGTCCTGAATCAGGCTCCACAGAATTTATAAAGGACCCTCAGGGGTATGACAGGAAGCTCACACTGAGACAGATATAGCCTTAAAGACTTTTTATTAAAATCAATAATAGTAAGTAAATGGTAAAATATCCAGAGTTACAAAGTTACAATTGCATTACTGCTATTCAAAAGATACATATGATAATATAGTATTATATGTAACAAAGCTTTGGTTAATATACTCACACCCTTCCTTGATAACCTGGTGGTAAGAGACACAGGAACAGCTTTGTGGTTCAGGTTTCTCAATTCTTGAGTGAGGGATGCAGTGCTTAGAAAATGCTAAGAGCTATCGAAGCTGACTAGGGTTTACTTGACTAACTTAAACTTAAATCAAAACCTAATAATCAAACTAAGAATAAAACTTAGGGAAACCCGAGCTTAGCCTAGTTCCCTTGAAACTTAAAGTTTAAGAAGGACAAGTATAGCCTACAAATAGTAGCAATCATCGTAGATAGAGTGGAGGAAGTAAATGAGAACAGAGTAAAGTGAGAACAGAGATAGTGAGAAACGGAGATGGAGTAAAGTAAGAACGGAGAAAATGGAGAACGGAGATACTCTATTGAGATGAGTTACCTCTTTTATAGGGCAAATGCCGGACCTCCTTCTCTTATGCCCAAATGTTATTCCTCACCCACAGAAATGTTAGGGTACACTTACCCCATAGGCTAGTATGTATGTGCGTATTGATGACAGGTATGTACGCACATCAGTCTCTTGTGGTGTACTTGTTAAGTCTGTGGGAAAAACCCCTGTTTCCACCCTTTAAGGCTATTGGTCCAGGTAAAGGTCTCTAGACATCTGCGTGGGTGTTTTGTCTAATTTTACTTTTCTGGGTGAGGATCTCAAAAGGTGTTAACTTCGCATTAGCTTAACATACAGGGTTTTGGCCTGTAGGTAGATCTTGCATTACAGCCAAACTTACTTTTAATATAAATCTATAAGCCTAATACATCAGATACTTAAACTATAAGAAAAGATATATATATATACAAGCAAGCAGGTTAGTCTTATAGGCTACAACCCTAAGTGCATGAACGTGCCCTTTGCATTATTGAATTACATCCCTATTTACTACCCAGCCCTACTGTTCTAAAAGGATATCAGCTAGAAGGGGGGAGAGTGAAGCCAGTAATAGGCAGTGGACGGCAGGCCCCTGTTTTGGGGGTGGGGAGAGAGCAAGTGGTGTCTCCCCTGAGTAGCCAGGGAGACCCATGTGTCTGTGGGCATGACAAGTTGACTTTTCAGTCTGCAATTCTCACACACATATTGGCAGTGGAACAGAGGGGACTTAAAAGGGCAAAAGACAGACTGAAAACCATGATTTGATGGTCTCTCAAACCTAATGATTTCTGGGGGACCGGAGTCATGATTTTTGATCTCTCGAGGTTGGCAGTACTGGATGTGAACTTTCTCAGTGGGCCTATAGGGCACAGTCCCCACACCCCCCAAATCCCCACCACGCTGACATGACCCCACTAACCCCTATTCCCCCTCACACAAACACAAGCCCCACATGCCTAGTCCCCCCACACAGACATATCCCCAGACACCCCCCAACTCCCCCCCACACAGACACAATGTCTCACCTTCACCCCAATCCCCACACACAGACAGTCCCCGCACACAGACATGGCCCCCCACACTCCTGGTCCCCGCACACGTGGGATAACCTGGCCATGAGGGAGGCTTCTAACCGCGAGGAAACAGCCTCCCAATAGCTGTAGGGGGCAAACAATGGAATGGGTTTGAGGCGAGCCGGACACATGGGGGGTGTGGCTGGGTGACGGGGCTGCTTGTGATGGTGGGGGCAGGGCTCAGCAGCTCTGGGGTCCCTTCCAATTTTGTTTCTATAACTCAGGAGTCAGGGTTTCGGCCGGTCACCTGCAGCGGTCAGGAAGGGCTTTGATTTCCCAAGTGTAGTCTGGGTTGTTGTTTTTTGCCTCCCTCCTCTGAAGCCTCAGGATGGCTGTGGCTGGGCTGGGACACTGGCTGGGGAGCGCCAGGGCTCTGGGGTGGCACTGGGCATTTTCTCTCTCTCTCAGGGGCTTGGCTGGTGGGTCTAGCTCACAAGCTCAGGGTCTAACCGAGCGCTGTATGCGGGGTGGGGCAGGAATTCTCCCCAGATCAGGTTGGTGGTGAGCTTGGGGGTTTCGCCTTCCCCTGCAGCGGGGCGGGGGGCGGGTCACTGGCCAGGATTATCTGGGGTCTCGCACTTCATCATTCCCCTGCCATTGCAAGGGCCCTGGAGCCCCTCGGCCTGTGGCACGGCATAGTCCAGTGTCCTGAGGGCTGTGACCCGTTGGGTTCAGGGTGCAGGTGCTGGGTGGGGCTGGTGCCCTGGCCTACACAGGAGGTCAGACTCAGTGAGCTGGGGGTCCCTGCTGCCTTCAACCCTGTGACTCTGATCCCCCTCACACCAACACAACGTCTCACACTCACCCCGATCCCCCTCACACCGACACAAC